GGTTGGAGATTCATGATCCTTGAGGTCCCTTCCAACCCTGGCAATTCTGTGATTCTGTGATTCTGTGTTGTGAAGCTGCCTGGCCCCGTGTCCTATTAGGCCATGTGCAGATGTAGGACACGTGGATGTTCCCACAAGGAAAGATGTGATGTTAGCTCTCCATCACACCATGCAGCCTCGTGTCTTTGCATATAGGTTCTGTGTTTGGCACGGCTGGAGCTGGGAAGGTTCTTGTTGTGCCAAAACCTTTGTGTTCTTGGCAGTTTTAGTGCAGCGTGGGTAACTTCACCGGCTGCCTTGTATATACTGGTAGTAAATCTGTCAGCTGTTTTAATTGCATTTAGCAAGCTAGAAAAAGTCATTAGTCCTAGCAAGAAATTCATCTAAATGAGTGTAATGTAACATGTCAGTGTTTTGGAAAGGTTCAGGAGACCTAATCCAGAAGTATTATCTTTTCAATTAAAAGTAAAGGTAGGGAGACCAGATAAAAGCAATCACTCTGAGTAGTGCTTGTTTCTGTATCTCTTCTAAGTAGGTTATGTTTACTGTTCCTGTTAGTTTTGAAGCTCCAGGTGCCTGGATCCTGCTGTCTTTTGTAATAGTCTTCCTTGGTTTGTTTTGCAGAAGGTGATTAAATCGGACACTGAGCAAACAGTGCCAATATGATTTTCTTGCATGTTATAAACCAGGCCAAGAGAGGAAACATAAAAATACAAGTAACTGGAAATTAAAAAACAAAAAAGTTATGCAATGAGCGTAGGAAATAACAAACCAGCACAGAGATATTATACTCATGTGGGCTTTAATTTTTAATTAAAGCATTAATTTCTTTTCTAAATAAATATTTTTGTGTTCAGAGACTGACCCCATTTCCACTACTTGAGACCAAAGCTTGATCCTAAGCATCTCCAGTGTTCTCATCACTGAACTGCTTGGGGTTTGATGTGAGCAAAAAGTGCTGTGCCAGTGGCATCCCATTAAAAAAAGGAGCAGTTCAGGCTTCTGGGTGGCTTTGTGTGTGTGTATGTATATATGTGTGTGTATATATATTCTATAGTCTTTCTTTCTGATGGAAAGGGACCTTGGTGTACTGATGCACAGTCGGCTGAACGTGAGCCAGCAGTGTGCCCAGGTGGCCAAGAAGGCCAGTGGCATCCTGGCTTGGATCAGGAATGGGGTGATGAGCAGGACCAGGGAAGTCATTCTGCCCCGTACTCTGCATTGGTGAGGCCTCACCTTGAGTAATGTGATCAGTTTTGGGCACCTCAGTACAGAAGGGACATGGAGGTGCTGGAGCAGGTCCAAAGAAGGGCAACAAGGCTGGGGAAGGGCTTGGAGAATATGGCCTATGAGGAGAGACTGAAGGAACTGGGGCTGCTCAGTGTGGGAAAATGAGACTGAGGGGAGACCTTATTGCTCTCTTCCAATATCTGAGAGGTGATGGCAGCA